AACCTTGCAATTCTTTACACTACTCGTCAAAAGAGGTCTCGTGACATATTTACAGTGCTAAGACACTCAAAATATTTCTAGTATTTTTAGTATGATACTGACCCATGTGTTTTTCCCCCCAGGCATTGTAATCCTTGCCAAATTACTTTTCTTTGTATTTATCTCTTCTACTGCATTTACGAGACCATTTGCAATACAAAAATAATGGCACATATAGATGAACTTAAAAAAGTAAAAAATACAAATAAAAATATATAATATTTTCCAAAGAAAAAAGTCAGATACATACATCTTAGTAACATTTTTAAAGTTGTGTGATATTTTCCCAAACATGTACAATAATATAAGAATATCCACATATATGTTAACAATATGCAAAACATTCTTCCACCAACCCAACTCTTCATAATACTTCAGAGAAGTGTGCAAGTACCAATGGTATCTGGGAAATTCATACAATTTCTTTTTTAAATAGAAACAAGTAAAACACTAACGGTCCCAGGTTAAGTTAAGGCCCCCTGTTTTTCAAAGAAAATTCAATTTCCAAGCAGCATTAATAATTGGATGCATCTAAAACCAAAATGAAACAAAAACAACACTCCAAATCCTTTTTTTTAAATACAAACTCCACTTGTTGTGTGGAGTATCCTTTTCAAATTCTGTCAGAAATGATGGTGGCAGGCACTTGTTTCTAACAGTATTTAATGAATCCAACCACCATGTAAAATACTTCAATAACAGAGGGTGCAAGAAAACCTTCATTTGTACATTACAGCAACATTCAGATCCATAAAAGCAAGTTGCAGAAAGGAAAAAAAAAACCCAAAACAATGTGTTATTTTTAATTCTGGTCACTGGAATTAAATTATTTTTTGCAATGACTAAAAATCAGCCTTTCTTTTCGACCACTGTCTTTGCAGATATTAGTGTTTTGTGTGACTCCGTAGTGTGAAAATTTAGGTCTCTCATTAGGTCAAACACAGAGATTCAAAAATGTAATTTAAGATGGTCAAGCAGCAGAGATCAAGAAATTTGAAAGGAAAGGTCAACTTCTGCATGCCTTGAACATCACTTCATCACTGGGACTATCTCTGCAGTTTTCACTCACTGAAGATTTAGACAAAACCCCACTGCTGAAGTTGATAATGATCCCCTTGTTACTACGCATGATACCTGGGTCCTTCCTTCTGCATGTCCCAAAGCACTTTGCAAGGGAAGGATGCATCACTCTCCTTGTTTCATTGCTGGGGAAAGGGAGGCACAGCCAACTGAAAAGCCGCGCACGGCTGAGCCCAGGTTTAACATCCCGGTTCTGTGGTGGTCAGTGGGACAACTGTCTCTAAACCCCGATGGGACCCAGGATCCAAACCACATATCCTGATTTGTACCCCAGCCTTTTGCAGCACCACCCTCCCACAAGGACCAAAGGTCTGCTCGTCTCATTTGGGGTTGCATCGTCTCTTCTGCTGGCATAACTGAGTAACTGATGCTCACGTGCACTCTTCCATGAGTGTGACGCTCAGTGGAGCCAGTGCTAACTTTCCACACTGTACATCAGTCTTAAGAATTATTCCTTTTTAAACTCTATTCTTTAAACATGTGCAGGTATATGGATTTGATCAATCTGAAACTCATTCATACTACTTACATGGTAGACTAAAAGAATATATAAAAACAGCTGGATGAAGAGTGTCATTCTGCCTTGCTACACTATCAGAATGTGACATCAAAATCGTCAATAAATAAAAATATAAATCAAAAAAATACATTGCATCATTGTTCCATGAATTAACGTTTCATGCTTTGCCTCAAGAAAAAATAAAAAGGTGTCCAAAAGCATCCTGAAAGAAAGATTCCCCATAGCTAATCTATGAATATGAAGACAAGGACCATGTATGTCAGACATACTCCATACGGTGCTTAGAAGACTTGCTGCTTCCGTAGCAGGGCTTCTGCACACAATGTGGTTATAGTACACTGGAGTAACAGATGATTACAAAATTTGGTATGAAACAAATACTGAAAAGTCTCAAAGAAACAAGAATTAATCATACCTGAAAAAGTCAGGGATATAGAAACTGCATAGACTAATACCACTACACATTTCTACAAGTCAAAAGACTGGTAGAGGAACGACTGTTCCTACCACAAACTAAACAAAACAAATCATATCTACTTGGAGGAATGCTACTAAAAGATATAACAACACACAGGTGGTTCAAACCGTAGCTTTGCCATCAAAAGAGAAAAGATATATTAGCCCCAAACATATAGTGGCTTTTTAAACAAAATAAACATGTTGCAAGTCTTCACAGGGTGCTTTTATTGATGAAATATTAAACCCAATTCTTTTTTTTCTTGTCCTGAACATGCAACTTTTCTAGATACTGCTAGGTTTCATCTCAAGTCAATCTTTGAGATGCAAATATTAATATCAAATCTATGTATGTAGTTTAGCCTGTCAAATTAAATCGTTTGTCTGCTGTTCACCCATGGTCATTTAAATGGAATGAACCTTTCACGATACTGAACAAAACAGAAACTTAAAAAAATTAAGTTAGCGTATTTGGGGGGAAAAAAGTATTTCTACCTGGCAGGAGTTAAATAAAGAAATTACTTTACAAAACAGCAAAGAAAGTGAATAAAGGTGCTTAAGTGTTTCTTCAGCAGGGTCTCAGTGTCAGGGAGTTAAAGGAGAATTGAGTTTTGACTAATGCTTAACAGTAGCGTCTATAATTATTTCCTGAATGAAGAAATCATGAACCAAGGGTCTGCTACCTTTACTGATGCATATACAAACGGATGCTGTGAGGACAGTTTAAAAATATAGATATACAAATTTAAAAAATATCAAAGTGCTAATGACAGCATGCATTTAATAGCTCTTTATCTTGTTGCTATTTCTTAAATGAGTTGTGTTTGTGGACGCCCTCGATACGGAATTGCTAAAACTTCTAGCCAGTTAATAAACATCCTGCTTGATTTTGTATTGGAATACTCTGAGGGACATTTAAAAAATATTTCATCTTGCTGTATGATCTCCAGTATTTGATATTTTATAAAAGCTCTTCAACTTCTAGTCTTCACATCTATAATATAGCTAGCTAAATGCACCAAGCCATGGAGACTCTTTCCTGTTAGGCAGGCACCTTGCTCCTCAGCCTGTTGTTTTTTGAGACAGTGCTTTTTAAAATGAGCAGACTAAATCTGGCAAGTTGGAGGGCTTACATATCCCCTTTCTGGCAAGTCCCTCATTCACATTACTGCCATAGCACTCTGATTAATGCTGTTCAGTCTATGCCATGTGAAGGCTTTTACTACTGTAATCATGATTATTCAAACAGGTTGATACTTGCATTGCTGAAAATTTAAGCACAGAACATTTTTCCTCATACCTGTGAACACTTGTTTATTTCTTACTATGGGAAAAATGGAATTGAGCAGTAAACATGTATATATATTTTCAGTATATATATCTCTATACTGTTGGAATTCTGTTTTTATTAGTAAGGTATTACTAATGGAGTAAATGGAGACCACTAAATTAATTTTTAGTTTCAAAAATCTGTGGAAGATTTTCCCCCCTGAATAGCTGTTTTTGTCTCTGATGTACCAAAATGGCAACAAAGATTTAGCAAAGTGAAAGATCGCATTATAGTGGCATTTCCATTGATCTGAGATTGTGAAGCCATATGAAAAGTGCAACCACAGCAGGTCCCTATCTTCACGTGATTTAGAAATGATGGACCAAGAAAAATTCCGAGAAGGGCAAGGTGCCCGCACATGGATGGAGACAGGCTGTCTTCCTCAATTTTAGTTTTGGTCTACATATGAAAGACGACTCTCAGAAAAGTAACTAAAATGTTTGTGATCATCCTGCTATATAATAGGAACGAAAGTGATAGAAAAAGAATTTCCAGCTGCCAAACACAGCACCATTTTGCATAAACTAGTCTCTCAAACTAACTACAGTGCACCATATGAAGACTCAAAACTGGAAAAAATACCTTGTGGCAAAAACTACAAATGTGCACAAATAATTATTTCTAGCAATAAAAAAAGTGGAGAAGCAAAACTTTGCCGATGTTTTTCTAGAAAGCTAGTCATCTGAACAGAAATGGGAGAAATACCGACACCTTTAACAGTGTAGTGTGATGACAAGTGTGCAGTGGTAATTCCATAGACTTGTTTCTCTCCAATGTTTTCTGAGTAATAATGTCCACTAAGGTCACTGCAACAGCAGAGAAAGAACAAGATGGATACATCAGTCTGTGAAACACAAAAATAAACTCTTTTCTTTTTTAGACTTAAAGGCTTCAAAGACTCTGAAATAAAAACTGTTAATACTGAAACAACATGAACATGAGGCTTGAAGTATTTTCTTCAATGCCATCATCACAAATGTTGAATAGATTATCAAAATGCATCCTTTACGGCAACAGTTACAGGAAAAGGAAACAAAATTAACCATAGCTTCCAAAATTCTGCAGAGAAGTTCAGCTCGTTTTGTGTAATTTAAAGTGAATCACCTGAAAACCACACCATGGTACGTACGTCTCTCTGGTCAGTCCCATTATCCTCCTCCTCTGAAGGATGTTCCGATTCACCCCGCCTCAAGAATGCTTTTTCCTCCAGCAGTCCCAAAATGCAATACGCAGAGCATGTACTCTGTCCATCCTTGAGTAAGGTTGAGAAACTTCTGGTCTCAGGCGGTGTCTGCCATCAAGTGATCCCTGCAGCACCTCTGTAACCTTTTCAACCAACCCACAGAGAAGTCTGGTTTCTTCTTCAAACTTCTTTCCTTCTTGATTAAGGACTCAACAGGGCCTGTCGTGAATGTCTTCACGACCGTGAGCAGTGCAAGGCAAACCGATGCTGATTAACAGGCAGGACCCTCTTTGATCAAAGGGGCCAAGTGACCCGCAAGACTGGAAGCCATCCACCTGCAGCTGGAACTCTGTTCCCCAAAAATTCAAGGCCTCTTTCTCTCCTCCTCTGGTTTATCTCTTTTTAGCAATAAGCCATGGTGTGACTCCCTTGAGATGACAAAAGCAAACGATTCAGAAGCTGGAATCAAAGGTCACCGTGAGCAGCCATTTAGCACGTGACATGATCACACACCAAGCAGGTTTGGCACACAAACTCATGCTTTTAGTCTGTACAAGCAGATAGGGTGGCATGAATCAGTGAAGTGTTTAAGATGGACATGGAAGCCAAGTCAGTAAACTCCAACGGCAGCCGGTACAGTACATTTCATAGCGCTTTGCTCTTATTTGGTCACTATTTCTTGTAAACTGGTTCATGGCACTCATTGTCCATGCAGGTCCACAAGCCAAAATATAAGAATTTACAGAAATAATCAGATTTCTATTATTGATCGCTGTATCGAGATCTCTCTCTCATTAGAGGGAGAATCTTTGCAGGTTTACCCTGCAGTTATGTAACATCTAACTGCAGATGTAAGTGACAAAAAGATGTACACATGGACTATTGCAAACAAGTAGAAGCAGCTACATGTAAACATCTCAGACTTGTAAAATCAGATTTTCAGTTTTCAACTATAAATACAAAAAGTGGAGCGCTATGTACACAACTTCATGCTTGTAAGGTTAGATTCATCACTGCAGAGACAAAAAAAGATACAGATTAATCAAATTAGTAAATTGGTATTTCAGATTTCTATTCCAAATACATAGAAAGGGCAGAGCTGCAAATACGGATAGTTATTTCCTCAGCACCAGCTATTCTTCAGAGATAAATACACTCAGGGTTTCACTTATACTTTATGTTTTCTAATGTGTTATACACCAGTATCCCTCTACCTACATTATTCTGAATGCTACGGTTTTAAATCTAGCACTGTCTAGGTTAAATCTTTACTAAACTAATGTTGCGAGTTAACATTAGCATCCAACATAACAACCAGGAGAATGTATCGAAGAATAGAAAGGTAAGGCAAAGAGAAGGGCAGGATGCACTAGGTATCCCAGAAAAATAATGTCATAATAGATCAATACAAATATTTGATAAAAATGCCATATCCATGAGCTTTTATAAAGAATGGGAAGCAATGATCATGTGCAGAAACCAAAGGATGTGTGAGTCTTCACATGAAAGAGAAAAGTCTTGGACATTCCAAGTTGCTGGAACATGTCCAGAGGAGAGCAACAAAGCTGGTGAGAGGTCTGGAGCACAAGTCTGATTAGGAGCAGCTGAGGGAAATGGGGTTGTTTAGTCTGGAGAAAAGAAGGCTGAGGGGAAACCTTGTTGCTCTCTACAACTACCTGAAAGGAGGGTGTAGCCAGGTGGGTATTGGTCTCTTCTCCCAGGTAACAGGTGATGGGACAAGAAGAAATGGCCTCAAGTGTGCCAGGGCAGGTTTAGGTTGGACATTAGGAAAACTTTCTGCACCAAAAGGGTTGTCAGGCATTGGAATGGGCTACCCAGGGAAGTGGTCGAGTCCCCATCCCTGGAGGTATTTAAAAGACGGGTAGACGAGGTGCTTAGGGCCATGGTTTAGTGGTGGGATGGCAGGGTTAGGGTAACGGTTGGACTTGATGATCTTAAAGGTCTTTTCCAACCTAAGTGATTCTATGATTCTACGATTCCAGAAATCTAACGCAAAGTGTTTCCACAATACTGCCTCAATGAGCTACTACTTCTACATATCTTACAACCTCATCACACCAGCTACCGTCATGGAGAGGTCTTATTTTGCATTGCTGCATGCATCTGTCTAAGAGGCTCTGAAGTATGTCCTGATACTGTTCAGCATGACTGTGACAGGCTTTTCTGTGTGCCAAGGACATACCGCCCCTGAAAATAAAAAGCTCTGCCCATCCTACCTTTTGCCAACAGCCAGGCATTGGTAATCCATCGGGACCCTGTTCCAAGCATGGGGGGGAGGAGGGGGAGGGAAAAAAAAAAGAAAGATCATAGTTAAGTTTGGTAAGATAGATATTCCACCAATATCTGTTAGAACAGCTCAAGCAGTTCTGGACTTTTATTTAATAAGTAGCTACCAGTTCCTAACTTCTTTCCTCTCTCGTTCTTAATGTTAAGGGAAAGCAAAAGGAGAGAAGGTTTACACTGTAAATACATACGTGCACTTCTCTGCCATAAAGATTTGTTTTTCCCTAAATCATTAGAACATCTTCATTGGTTTCTTATTGCTGTTAGAACTCAGGCTGCATATTATTTTAAATATAATCTGTTATTCACAACAATCTGTAGCTGAATGTACAAGATCAATGAGCAAAAAAAATATTATCACTTTTATCTGGAGGGTATTGTGTTTTATGGGCCCCTAGTACAAAGTTAACCCAACGATAAGATAGCAGGACTCAAATTTGAGTAGGATCTTTTCTGTTCACTTTCTTTCTTAGCTTTTGAATGAAGCAGTAAAATCTTAAGGCCTGAACATACCTCAAGTGACATAGTGGAAGAAAACACCAGTGGTGGGAGCAGGGCAGTACAGCGGCACTGGTTATTTCATCGCTCGGACAATATGGCCACCTAATTTCTTCTTACATTAGTGAAAGTCACTCCATTTCTTTCCTGTCACCTCCCTACTTTCACATTATCTCCATGTGTCCAGTAAGATTAGAGCCAACTTTTGACCACAGTCATACTAGTTTCCATGGAATTAATTTCAACTTACATCGCTATACCGGGCTTATCCAGAAAGTTATATGCTCAGAATTAGGAGCACGTATCACGTTACTAGACTATACATGAGCACAAAAAAAGACCATGCCTTGCAATCTTTTTCAGAATATAGAATAACAGTGCTTATTATGTGAATTTACACGTGAAAACAGTGGTTAATGAGAAATTTTGAATGTGCTTGCATGTGACCTGATGGGAACAGCTTGCTGCCTAAAGCAAGAAACAGTGCTGTTTGCTTAGCAGCTTATTCTAGTAATTACCTATGAATGGAATATTTTTCGTCCATCAAAAACTGTTAGTGAATCTCCAGATATAAATGATAATACAGAGACAGAGAAACATTTTTAAATTACAAAAGCATGCTTGATTATCCCCAACAAAATATGAGATATGGTTACCATTCATTGGAAGCAAACAAAATGGACCATGGAATAATCTTAATGGACTATGTATTCAAGATTAAAATCCATTCACTTCAAATTAGAAGTGCTATAGTTGAAATAAATTCTACTGAATTTAACATTCATCTTAGAGAACCGTGCTTAACCACCAAACAATATCAGAACATGCAGATCAAATTTTACTGTGAACAATTAAAAAAAAAAATTTCCTTGTATCTTTAGGAAATGTGTACATACTGTTTTTTGGTTGTTTTTTTTTTTCTTTACATGGAAAAGAATTTAAACTTACTTTGCCATTAAATAAAAATCACTGTTGCCAGATTGGTACAAGGGAGAAGGGTCAACAGGTAGCATTTTAGTATAGGTGGGAACTTGAATTCATGCTAACATAGGGTGGGGAGTGTCGTGTATATTCCAGGAAGGTGAGTTCCAAGGGTAAGACCATTAAATTGAAGACGTTAAATAACAGACAGCGAGGGTTTAGGCTGCAGACCGTTATCTTCTAACAAACCTCAGTAAGCTTCTCATTTCCATATCTGTTTGTATGCTATTTGATGAACAGGCCAGACACCAAAAATATTACTTGTGTAAGGTCTGGGAGATCAGGCTCCAGCTGGGCTTACTGGAAACCTATGACTTGACTTTTAGAAACAGTATTTACATTGTTCTGTATATGACTCATTTTGGCCAAATCCTGAAAACATGCACCTAAGACTGCATGGATTTGAAAGGAAGTCCAGGGTGCAGAGTAGCTCTGGGACAGGCTAGGGTGAAGAACTGAGCCAGTGCAGACAGCAGTCATCAGACTTGATTAGAAGTGGACATTGTGCTGGATTTCTACAAAGACTTGCGTTCAGGGTAAGTAGGGCAATAGGTATTTTGTGAGGAAAATAACAAACCAACGATTCTCAGGGAAAATGTAGGAAGGACACAAACTTATAAATCGCCATGTGATGTGGGAGCAAACTGCTGAGAGTTAGGTTTGAGGTGTCAACAAAAATGTGTGTTCTCTCATTGCGGTTATGGTCACTGAAGCAGCTGGTTTGTTCATGCACATGCATGTGTTACGTGAATAATGTAAAGTCAGCTCAGAAAAACATTACTTTACATTGAGAATGGCTGACTACAAACAAAGGAACCACATGCAGGGTTGGTAGGAAAGAGAAATACTGTACCAATTGGCAAGGGGCATCCAGCCCATCCAGGCCAGGCTGGCCTGGCTCCCCTTTTTCCCCCTTAATTCCACGGAATCCCTGTTTGTAAAGATTAACTTGCAATGTTACTGTCAAGGAAATGCCTTCAGTATTGACTTAGCTGGAGCAAACAAATAACAATAGAGAGGCAAGAGGAGCAAGCTGACTGCTGCGGTGTGATTTCAACCTGTGGGGCACTGACTCTGGCACATCCCAAATTTGGTTCCTTTCCAGCATGTTTGGCAGAAAATAATGAAAAAAAACCAACAAACTCCACAAATTTAGCCTGAAGATCTTAAGTCTGGTGCTTTACATCAAATTAGGAGGTTGACAAACACAGTCCGCTCCAGAATTTGCCAGAACTTGAGGTAAGGCCGCATTAACAGAGGGCAACAGGTGACACAGTAGCTGGTGCTTGTTCCTCTCCCCTCATCTCTTATTCCATCAGTCTACAGCAGGACGATCGATTGTCCAATACACAAGTGAGACGTACCAACGGGCAAGGTGCATCTAATCCAGGAGCACCCTGTTCTCCTTTCTCCCCTTTAGGCCCCTTTTTGCCTTTCTTTCCCTTTTCCCCCTGTGGATACAATGGTTTGGATAAAACAAGTTTCATTCTTTTGGAAAAAAATTATAGAAAGATTGGTTTAAAAGTTTGGATTTTTCTTTTTAAGCCAATGGAGAGCTGAAAGGACACTTACCACTGTGTTCTGGTTTGGGTGGTGCATTATGTGGAAAAATAAATTATATGATCACAAGCAAGAACTGCAATCAGTCGGTATTAGTTTGCGTTGGTATTTCATATCAGTATTATGAATATTTTGAATCCTAGAACAGGGCTTGAAATCATTGATTTCTTGAGACAGAGGCAAATCTGCAAATCCCTCCAGTCCACAGTCCAAAACAAGAAGTCTCCTTTTTGTTCTAAGGGATAGTACCGAAGTACACACACACCCTAAGCTGAATTTGTCAACTTCCCTAGAAAATTTGTCACTAGTCAGAGGTAACTTTTCAAGAGCAGAGTACCTCAGCGTAGTGTCTCTAAAAATACCTGTGGCACAGATGCTTCACAGGGAGGGCTGGTCTCTGGCTAAATTCTATCAACTTCCAAGGTGTCCCGTCAAGGGTGAACTTGGCCCAGAGCATCATTTGCTGAACTGACCCTTTGCACTCTGGTAAGAAATTGCGACAAATCCTGTTCTCCGTGGTGTCCACAGAAACCCACAGACATCACTGAGGGGTCACTCCAAATACAGCATGCCCATTTCAAACCCTGTGACAGGAATCAAAACATTTGAACTGCTTGATGGAGAGGTGCTATGACACTTTCAATGATTTCATAACATCTTGGTATCATGAAGTAATCAGAAGTGATAATTAGAGTCCTTATTTAAATATTGTAACATTTAAATGTTCTTTCTACTGCAGGCAACATTTCGTCTATTTATTTTACTGAAATTCAGTCCTTTGATTCCACAGTTTTCTTTTTAAATGTAAAGCCTTCAATGCTTTAATTACTCATGGAAATGAGTTGACTCCCCTCAACAAAGCTACCTGCAAAGATTACCTCACCTTCAAGCAGTATAAGATGTTTAGAGAGTTCATTTTATAATTTATTTCACACCAGTTGATCACAATGGTAAATGAGTTTCAGGTTTGCTCTCAATTTCACAAAAATCAAAAAAAGGTTCCGTTAAAAAAAAAATGAAACAAATTGGACTAGGATTGTAAAAAATGGGATAGGAAGGATGAGTAAATCAGGAATATCACAAAGAAATGGGGAAATAGTCATAGGAAAATTAGTATGACATTGGAGAACCAGCAAGCGAGGTTGTGTGGCTATCGGGAGGATTTAATTTGTGAGGAAAAGGGTAAAAAAGACAGAGGAATTGTAAGGAATGAAGGTAAAAGGAGAAGGAAGGAATGCCCCTTTGGAAAGACAGATGGATTTTGGTGAAGCATAGTCAATAGACATTTAACTAGTTCCACACCAGTACAGAAAGACTTAAACCGTTAACAAGAGAGAAAAAACATTTTTACACAATTAAAAAATAATTAGCTATATCATATTCAAAAAAGGAAGGAAAGCACATTATTCATTTAATATCATAGCATACTTGACACATTCAAATGAAAAAATCTTTTTCATGAAGAAAACATACTGCATTCATGACATGAATTTGTATCTCTCTTCCTGTGTGCCAAAAAGTCTCGGGATAATATTTAGGAGAACAGCAACCCAAACATTACCCTTCTTTACCAAATTATAAGATTGTGAAGTAAAAAAATTCCCATGAGTCAGGAACGGTAAGTTGGCTAAGTTTTCATCTTATACCAAAACCCATGACATCATAGCACAGAAGCCCAACAGTTTCAGGGTCAAATCTCATGTTGTTTGTGCTCGACCAATACATTTGCTGTGAGTCTATGCAAGCACAAGACATAGACATACTCCAAAAATGACTCTGAAAATGGACAGTACAGTTTGGTTTCTGACTATTTTTTTGTATCTTTAGGACTTACATTTCTTTCACTCGTGGTGATACGAGTCAGCAGATAATGATTTAAACTGCCAGTTTTGCAGGGCAAAACTATGATCGTATTCATACCAATGTAGCATTCATCTGTGTAGAGAATAGTCTGGATTTCCTGAGTACTTTACTACTTTTTCCACAGGCTGAGTGCTTGTCTCTTAATCTTCACCTCCTTACCCTGAACTATAGAGATCCACAGGAGATATGGAGAATCTACATCTGATGAAGATTAAAAAAAAATTCCTTCCTGCCCTTCCTCAGTGCCTAGAGAAATACAAATCTGTGGCACTTCTGTAACACCATCAACGGTTGGAACAATCTCCAGTCCTCACATGCACAGATTTTCATCCATGCAGAGTGCAGGGGGAAAAGGACGATGCCTTCCCAGCCACTGCTGTGATACATCATACTCCTCTGTCAATGTTTATAACAAGAGACACAACTGCACATTTGGGATCAGGGCCCCTTTCCCTCCCTCCCCCCCCCAACACAATCTCTACCTTTGGTTAAAAGTTTATTCCTTTTTAAAAGGAATTTTTTTTCCTATTCATACAACTTGAAAATACCAAACCAGTTGTACAAACCTTTGTCGTGCTGAGTGCTCCCGGGCTATAATTTCATATGAGTAATTACAGCTAGAATACTTTTAAGAATTATTTTTACAGCCAAGTTAAGCAGACATTATAATGCAAACACTGACTTGCTTTCACTGTAGCTTGCTTTCACTGACAGGCTAAAATAAAAATCATCAGTCTAGGACTTATCTCAAAGTGAAGAAGTAAAGATTTATTCCCTGCCTATCATAGGATGACTATGAAAAAAATAAGTGTCACTGGTTCTTGATAGAATTATAATAACGATATATTATTTTTTCAATTGAATTTGAATTAAGGTTCTTAACTAGAAACTCACTAATCTCAGCTTGTGTGATGTCAGTCTAACTGCCAATACTGTGAGGAATATTTAAAAACACAGAAATCATGAGCTGGACCCTCAACTTGTAAACTTCCATTTTTCTCTGTTGAATGAGCGCTGTTACACCAATTTGGTCATAAATAATTAGTAATTTATGTAAGGAAAACCATCAGAACTGAAAAAATTTGTTGTAGCGAAAGCTTCTATTAACTGCATTATTTTGTGTCTTTTGAGAGTCAGCCTTCCATTTGGAAAAGGAACTGTTGGTGTAAGTCAGGTGGTTTCGGTGAAACCAGTTTACTTGCAAGAAACAAGTATTCCCTCACTTCTGGAAAAAATGTGTCAAGACTGTGCAACAGAAGTCTCTTTCACAGAGGTCTCAGCTCTATCTTCCCTGATTTTTCACCATGAAAGACCTTCCTTTGCCTTCTAATTTTCTTTGAATATTCTGAGAATTTTTAAGGCAGAGATTCCATCTCCATTTTCACTCAATAGACTTCCTGGCAATCCCCTTAATCTGAAAGCCCATAAAATAACATGGTTTCTGAAGTATCTGTCAGACTTGCTGAACACTTTATCCCACGCATTTTTTCAAGAAACAGGTTTTGCTTTTTTCTGAGTTTTTAGGGGGATGGAGAACTAGACTTCCTAGGAGATGCGTCCTGCAGCCCAAGAGAACAGGGCTACATGGGCAGCCTGAACCACAACTGAACTCCAAAAAGGACCTAACCGTGCCTTGTGGCCTGTCCTGGTTTCGGCTGGGATAGAGTTAATTTTCTTCATAGTAGCTAGCATAGTGCTGTGTTTTGGATTTAGTACTACAAGAATGTTGATAACACTCTGATGTTTTCAGCTGTTGCCAAGTAGTGCTCAGACTACTCAAGGACTTTTTGAGCTTCTTCTGCTCAGCCAGGTGCATAACAAGCTGGGAGGGAGCACAGCTAGGACAGCTAACCCAAAGTGAGCAAAGAGCTATTCCATACCATAGAACGTCATGCTCGGGGGGGCTAGTTAGTTCGTTCGTTCGGTCGGTCGGTCGCGGGCAGAGTGGTCGCAGCTCGGGCTGTGTGATCGCAGCTCAGGGGGAGTGATCGCGGCTCGGGACGGGCTGGGCACCGGTCAGCGGGTGGTGAGCAATTGCATTGTGCATCACTTGTTTTATATATATTCTGTATATTCTCTTACCATTATTATTATCACTATTGTTATTCTTCTCTCTTATTAAACTGTCTCTATCTCGTCCCACTGGTCTTACTTTTTTTCTTTTCTCCGATTCTCTCCCCCATCCCACAGAGGGAGGGGGGGGAGTGAGCGAGCGGCTGCGTGGTACTTAGTTGCCAGCCGGGTTAAACCAAGACATGGCCACACACAATTCCCTCGCCCTCTTGCAGCTGGAAGGCCTTGTGTTTGAGCTATGTAGTCAATCTCTGGGAATAATGAACCAATACCCAAAAGCAGCATGCTGGACTCTAGGACATTAAAATATTTTTAAATCCTGGTTGCAAGAATCTCAGCTGTTCCATTTTTCACTTAACATCGTATTTATATAAGCTAACTGCTTTACTGGCTTTCCAGCTTTTCTTCCAGAGATCTTCGGGTGCTCTGATGGCTGTATTTTGTCTCCCTATCTCTAACTGTACGTGGAAACACAGACTCAGAAAGTCTGGTTGGAAGGGACTTCTAGAGGCCTCCTGGTCTATTATCCCATCCTGAGCAGGACGATTCCTGACCCTAGATGAGGTCAGACCAGACCAGGTCCTGCAGCCTTCCATGGGCAGTGGTTCAGCCACCTTGCTGGGTAAACTGTCCCAGTGCCACACTGCCCTCCTAGTGAACAAGGTTTTCCTAATAGCCACTCTGAACCTCACAGGAGCAGCTTGCGTTCCTATGTTCTCCCATTTGGCATTACCCAGAGGAGTTTTGTTCCACCATCTTTGTATCTCCCCTTCAAGTAGTTTGGCCTCCTCTTTGTCAGACTAAGCCGGTCCACCTCCTTCAACCTCTGGTATCAGCTGCGTGTGCGCCAGGCCCCTGCCAGTTTGGTAGCGTTCTCCCTCTCCAATTTCTCAGGTTTTTCTTGAACCATGAGGCTCAAAATACGATCTGCAGTATTCAAGCAACCTCACCAGGTTTGCTTAGAGACAGGTAATAACTTATTTTAATCTTCTGGACACAATCCTTCTAATGTATCCCAGTATGAGAACATACTGTTAAGCTAATTCAGTTTGGCACCTATTAGCAGAAGCTGGTCATTTTGCCAGTCATCTATCAGAGCTGGCAGTTATCGCTTACACCTTTCTACTGATAACTGCTCTCAAAAAGAAAAGCTGCTCCCTTGTGACAGACAGACCTGTAGTCTTTGACAGCAAGTGAGAGCTCACCATTTGCGGTGATGACTCTCCCAGGTCAAACACTGCCTTTACAATATTCACCATATAATTAAGCACCAGTTGTTCTGCAAAATCAGTACCTTACCAGTAATCTCTGAGCTCAAAATAACAAGGGACAGAAGGGAAGGATACATTTCATAGTACCTTCAGCAATGCATTCTTAGGAAGTGTTTTGCCTGATAGTATTGAGAAAAGGAGATGAACACAAATGGCCATGGTGACTTTTTAACTCTTCTTCTTGTTTGAGATACTGTGATGGGAAGTGAACCTAGTATAACCCTGTACATGTCAGCTAGGCAAAAAACTAGAAAAATCACCCACTGTGTGTATGGACTTTTATGTTAAGTGGCTTGGTGTGAGTGTTAATTCGGCAGTTTTAGCAACTAGGCTCTATGTTGGTTAGAAATAGGGGACATTTGCTCATGAGCTTTCTCTGCACGCATTTAGTCTTAAATTGCTTTTTACTAAACATATTTCCAAGTCACTGTGTTTGGACAGTGAAAATGAAGTTAGGCTGTTTCTGTTAACTTCACTGTCTAGTTGGTTTACCAGAATGATAGAATATATGATTTAATTTCAATCCACAAGTATCACAAAGTGCTTAATTGTAAGTAAGACATTGCCAAAAATAAAAAAAATAAAAAAAGGACAGTCTCTGTCCTTTTCCATTTGGTGTGGGACAGGAGTGTGTACAGATATGGTACACTAAGATCAACAGTTATACTTCAAATACTGCCAAGGAACAGGGCTGGGGTCTTTAGTATAAAATTACTAACACAATGACACGTTTCAGTGATGTCTGCATTAAAAATTTCAGGCTGACAAGGATTTTCAACAAGTGTAGGATGGATTGGAGAAAATGAGCCTAAAAACAAGCTGTGCTTTGGGACATGTTGATATTACCAGTCATGTGCATAAGTTTTCGTGGCTTTTCATGATTTTGCTTAGCATGTATCTGTGACCTGCCTTTTGGCACACAGTAAAAACAAAGATATGTTTAACGGGACAATTTATAGCATAAAGACAGCAGAACTGACTAGGCTGAGGAATCAAGCAACAGTTAATAACACTGTGGTCACCTTTTCTCCCTTTTCTCCTATATCACCCTTTTCTCCTCGAGGACCAGGGAAACCCTATAAAAACAAAACGGAAAAAGATAGGTCGACTTTCATTCACATGCAGGTTAAGGTTTCAAACACTCCTGGAAAACATAAAGAAGATGATTTCACTACATGCTTTGCATGTAAATGTGAGTTATGTGTGCACACATGCACGTACATGAGAGCATGTGAGACCAGTAAGTCATAGTGTTTGGTAGAGTCATTTTGCCAGCAGTGGAAAGAAATTGTATCACTCAAAATGGCCATAGTCCATAGGTTCTGGAAAAGACTCCTTTGAGTTAGGGATTTTAGCATAGGAGTAGAGGAAAAGGCTTACAAGTAAGCTTTTTAGCATGCCAAAGCAAGGGCCTATATTTTGAAACGTATCCCTTAAAGGTTATGGAATTATTCTTTTTAATTAGGATAAATTTACTTAACCAAATGTTAGTGACTCCTTGTTCTATGACTGAGTCACAAGCCTGAATATTTTCTTACGAAGCACAGATTTTCAGCCTATTGACTTAGAATCATAGAATCATAGAACGTTTTGGGCTGGAAGGCACCCCTAGAGGTCATCTAGTCCAACCCCCCTGCAGTGAGCAGGGACACCACTAACTACATCAGGTTGCTCAGAGCCCCATCCAACCTGGCCTTGAATGCTTCCAGGGATGGGGCCTCCACCACCTCTCTGGGCAACCTGTTCCAGTGTTTCATCACCCTCATTGTAAAGAATTTCTTCCTTATATCTAGTCTAAACCTACCCTGGTTTAGTTTAAAACCATTACCCCTTGTCCTGTCACAGCTGGCCCTACTAAAAAGATTTTCCCCATCTTTCCTATAGGCCCCCTTTAGGTATTGAAAGGCCGCAATCAGGTCTCCCCGCAGCCTTCTCTTCTCCAGGCTGAACAAGCCCAACTCCCTCAGCCTGTCCTCATAGGAGAGGTGCTCCAGCCCTCGGATCATTTTTGTAGCCCTCTTCCAAAGGACCAACTACTTATATTACAAAGCACTATATCTGGGGGGGTGTGACACACTATATCTGTCGATAAGGGCTGTATATTGCATAATTTTTGTCCTCTTTATCATAGAGAAAGGTAAAAATGCAGCATTTGGCACACACTCTGTATGTACTGCATGCACACTAAATGGAAACAAAGGTGTTACACTCAGTATGCTATTTCTTGAAAGACGCTTACCTACCATTAAGAGTGTATTGGTCATACATATTACTTACATCAAGGCCAGGCTCGCCATCTTTGCCCTGCCGAAGAACCATATAAAGTACATTAGCATCCCTAAGCTGTGATGCCAAGGGCCGCCTTGAAGCCAGACTTCCGCGCTCCCTCTATGCAGCGGTACCCCGTGTTGCTAAGTCTGTACACACAGCTTTGTCGTTAGTGAAGGATGTTTCTGTCAGTGTTTAACATTGCCAGGAACTGATAACTTGACTGTAAAATTTTTCGTGACTAAAATTTGGTTTGCACACAGATTCAAGGAGCAAGCTTAAAAATACGGAAAAGCTTATCATTTTTCATTTTTAGTTCACAGGGAGGGAAAACAGAAATTGGATTATTTTTTATTTAACTCACAAAAGTGACCCTCAGCTAAACATGCACTGCAAGCTAATGTAACACTCCACGGAGCCTGAAAACTCTCAAGTCATTGACTCCTGATCCAGTTAAATGGATCCAATTAAACCACGAGTCTGTATTCCAGCTTAAATTAATTACTCAAACAGATTAGACTGGAGAGGGCATGGAAACATTGCAAGTCTCTCGCAGAGGCTGGCTGTGCTTGGCCAAGCACATTTACATGGCTTTTCTTGTGTCACAGTACCGAACAGGCATCTATATTTGTACCTGGTCATCAGCAAAGTAAGCAGAGTAAGTCAACTGATTTTATTGGGGCTATCCTCGTTGTGCCAAAGGAAGTTCTCACTCATATTTTAGAAATGGATAATATCATTGAAATGGTTCATTTAAAGCATATAGTCTCCACCTAGGAACGATCAACAATGAACTTCTCAAACTGCTTCTGAGCATGTGGCACAGAAATGAAAACAAAACTGGGCTCTGAAGTGTAAAACATAACAAAAATACAATGGCGAAGTAGCCTCGCAGCATGGAAATCCAAGCAGCTTATTGACATTAAGAAAATCACAGCTTTCCACAGTTCATCCCAAACTCCTGCCACTCTTGCATGGTCCCCAGACAGCTGATGGCCGCAGGCTGCAGGAACAGAAGTGCCTGCATTCTGGATTTCCTCTCTCTTGCTGGTTGATGTCAGGTCCGTTTCGTTACTTTTGCATGACCATGTGCATGGGTAGGAATCTAAGTCTGCGATACAGATTGATGACCTTGCACTGTCAGAGATTATTATCTATCTTTACCTTTTCCAACTCATTGTATTGCTAGGTGAAAAGCAGTCATAAAGCACACAAAGTCTAATCAAGGAGTGATGAAAAGCACAACGTGTACAAACTACGTCCAACTTACAGGCAAGCCATATGGTCCTCTGGGTCCAGGGTCACCTACAGTTCCCTTTTCACCCTAAGAAAAGATTACAGAACAAGCAAACAAAAACATTGTCTACCTTAGATAGAAATTATCTCTACCAAGTGCTTTAGGTTAAAATTTATGCATTCCTACATCTTTTGAGTGAAAAATATGCAAGCTCATTTTTTTTTTTTTAAATGATTAAAGGGGCAAAGAGAAAGTGCATATTACTTTCTAGGCAAAATGACTTTTCAGGCATATATTACATTTGCTTTTAAACCCATTGGTAACCGAAAACATTTTTCAGACTGAACTTGCACCGATTTCAATTTTAAGCTTGTAACAGCTGCAACATCGTGCTCAGTAAAAATCCGACGTTGTAATGAAAACTGAGGATATACAGCATCAAGCTCCAGCACAGCAGCTGAGATGCAACACAGTGACAAGCAAAAATAATGTGTCAATCAAAGCTTGTATTTAAGCAAGCAATGCTCTTAACAGTGACATTGTGAAGATTATCCCATGCACTGTACTGTGTTGCTAACTGCCCCATTGGAGTCTAGATTAGTGATGTAAATACCCTGGTTTATTAAATCAAAACCATACTAATGCGCAAGACAAACAAGTACAGAGATTGCTCTGGAAGTTTGATCTCATTCTGCACTAAAATCCACGGAAAAATTACCAGTTTCCAGAGGGATGCTACCAAAATAATTTTGCAAGCTTAGCAAGAGGAAACTCTTCCAAATGCAATGAAATTTCAAGGTAACAAATTTCAGGCTGACAGCAGTAATCATCTTTGCTCTCCAATTGTTCTTCATCAAGACTGATAAGGAGTTAAGCTTCCCAAGTCAGCCACCGTTAGCCCGCGTAACTGCGAGCACAGCCCTCTCTGAGCTTGTTAGGAAGGCAGGGCTGGTAAGTAGGTATGGGCAGCAGTCTTGTTTCAGACTGTGGTGCTCTTTCTTCTGAATAAAGTCCAGCAGAAAAGCCATCCTTATTTGAGAAAACTAAATTGCTCCAAGTGTTGATGACATCAAAAAACCAAAAAAGTCCTGACCACCTCCAGTTTTCAAAGCTCCTACTCTGGATCTATTATGTAGGGTTAATTTGGGTCTGTTCTTCACCTCCTTTCCTTAACATAACCTAATGCAAGGCTTCATGCAAATCTCCTGGCATACAGAAGTGCTGTGTTTCATCCTAGCAATTGCTGCAATTAAGCTCTTGAGATAATTCTGTGTACAAGATCCTCTCAAAATCTGGATTATTTACAACTCATTATTCATTCATTACTCTATTATTAAAAGCACAAAACACAGATGTAATGCATGCCTACTTAACAGCAGTGATCATTGGCACAGCCAAGTCCCTCGGCACAGTTCTGAAAATGGGCTGCTAAGTCTCAATTTTATTGACTGCATAATACAAAAAAGCAGGCACCAGAATAAACTGAGTCTGAACTTGTTGAACAATCACAGCACTAAGGAGTTTGTCAGAATAACTGATATTTGATCTGGTTTAGATACTTCATATTTTTACAGAGATGGACGCTGTCTATACTCACTTTAGGCTGGTGGTGATTAGATGTGTAATGGCTGATCTTTCTGGATTCTGTTACCTGTTAATCTCCAGCCATTTCTGAGCAGCACTTAGGCTGGATGTCCTTGCAGAACAATATGAAGTATTGGGAAATTAACAGCTGATTTTCAAAATGGTAAATCCCTTGCAGCTTTAAAACTTTCTGCTGAGAAGAAACTAATGTGCTGACCTACGTGTATAACAGCGACAAAACCGTTTGATCAATATTTGAAATATGTCAGGACTCGTCGAGTATCTTTTTTCAAAATCCTCAACAGCAAAGACAACTGTACGAAATCCTCTCAAGATAGGCCTATAACGTCACTAAACATCTGGTAGACATAAAGATACTGAATGTACCAGTCTAGGAAATAATCTGTTACGTAGGAACAGAGAAAGGGATTTCACAATTTTTTGCCTCCGATACAAAGCACATGCTGAAATGTGTTTGGAATATCAGATGAGGTCCTGAACGTTTATGGCTTGCATAAGATTGATGGACTGTCATGGGCATACTGCCCTTAGCCATCACGATAAAGCATTTCTTTCAGGGAAATAGACATTTGCAAACTTCAGGAGGGTTTTTAATATCTTTTTGTAAGACAATTCACCAGTTCCCAAAGAACAGAAACCATAGCCTTTGGTTTTGCCTCTTATTTCACTTCAGTCTCCTGACTCATGGGTGAATATGAACTACCATTTGTGTGAGTAAAGCTGCATAATTGGTGTCTCCATTAAGATAGAAACGGAGATTTCATAACACTATCACGGTGACAAACATTTTAACGACATTAAAGAGAAGGCACTTCCCCTCCCAGTATAGAACGTGTGTAGTGATGACAGTGTTGCACATGCTGTGCATCTGAGAGCCAAACCCAAGCTCAAACCCAGGTCTTTGCCATCAAGATAAGAGCTTCAGGAATTTAACATTTCATTAATTTCATTAATTTTGTCTTTCACTTCTTTTATATGGACATATATTATAAATTGTCATTTAAGATGTTTATCTGTTTACCAACATTCTCTATTTTTTCTCAATATATAAGTGAGATTAATGGGTACACAGCCAGATTCAGAGGCCTATTACGATCAACTACTCCATTTAATGAAGATGGTCTCTGTAAAAGCTCTCTAAGCACCTAGCAATATGGTATTTTCAACAGCCAAATGATTTATTAAGGACTGTAAGACACTAGCCTAATAAATGATATTAATTCACCCTATTAATTACCACTTCTGTTTCTACCAAAAGAAATGCACAGTATTGGAATGTTCACCAGTATCACACTTCAGGAATTGTTAAAATCTGTGTGAGCTTTTAATAATCAATGAGCAGTTTAAAGCTTAGAGAGAAAATTACATGGTTAAGCTCACACAGAGGGGTAATAGCACATTTGTTCTAAAATTCGTGTTTTCCTATTTTCTAGTGACATGCACTATTTTCCTAGTCTACTTGCTCACCATCTAAATACATTTGGTATAAAGACTGTCTGATGTCTTCTATTTTAATTAAATAGCTAAATTGGAAACAAACCAACCAACCCAAATTTGCACAACAGTCCATTCTACCTAAGAAGAGTAACTCAGCGTTGCCTCAAATGCAGCCTATGCAATGATGAATCCATGATTTCTATAGAAGAAATCACTAGGCTTCAGTTTGATTTTACTTGCTTTCCTTAACTTTAAGGATGCATACAGTGACCAGCATTTTATATGTATTGTCTTAAAGTGAAATTGTCTTTCCAAATTTTAAATAATGTGAATTTAAGAACATGGTTATGTTTCACGTTAGGAATCCCTAATGCCCTTCTAGGTTAATATTGGCCCAAGGTTTTTCTTATCAGCATGGACAAAATATGATCCTGTCTAGTGATAGCGAGCAGTGGCACTATGCACCATTTTTAATTAAAAGGCAAAGTCTGAAATCTGCAGGCAAAACTGTTTTCCTCCCGCTTTCACAAAAACAAGTTAAACAGTTGCAAATGCGAGTTGTAAAACTTCACTAAAAATACATGATTTGTTATTTTTTAGATAACAAGATATATATCAACAGCAGGCACCTGTTAGATAACTATGCTACAAACAACTTCTCCTCCCAAAGAGTATTGAATAATTCAATGAATAACTACAGCAATATTCTTGCTAGTCTATTGCTTGGGAAAAAACCCCCCACCTTTCTTGTGAACTTCCTCCCATTCATTTAGCCACATAGAAAATGGTGGCTGTGCAGGAATTTCTTGCACACCTTAGGTTCTGTATTTCTGCAAACCTGTTCCTCTGTGCTCATGCAATTGTTGAACCAATTTACATTGCAACAACTCCTATCCCCTTTGTACCTACTACCTACTACTTGTCAACAGGCATGGTAGGGCTGATTCTAGATCCAGCTGTATGACTTGCTATTATTCTTGGATACTTTCATAAGAAAAAGGAATTATTGTTGTCTTCCATACATCAGAAGAATAGTTTATATTATAGCACATAGTTTTCAAAAGAAATTTCAACTGGTAGTACATACGCATACCCTTCAAGATAAAAGCCCACAATGCAAGAATAAAATGTACAGTATTTATATATATGCTTCTACATGTGTACCTCAGCTAAATTATTTCCTGAAGTTCAGAAGATGATGCTCAACTACCTTTTCACAGAGCTGATTGAAAAAAGGTAAGTCCTTTTTTCAAGTCAAAAGACTTGAATCCATAATACCCTAGGAAAAAAAAAAATACTCAAGTCCTTCAGAGAGTTAACTAGCCTGAGTGGTAACTACAGTCTACTGTTCCTATTTTGGAATATGCTGCATGTCTTGTATTTATTTTTCACCATATAGCTCTGTAAAAATGAATCATCGTCTCAGATATTCTGCTGTTAAAACTAACTGGACCTGTGCCATATGGCTGCATCATTAATATAGCAAGTTGGAAGTTATTTTAGCACAGCTATTTTGTTGAAGTGAGAAATTTAAAGAGACATAATTCTGGTCTGGCAGCTCCTTGGAGGTTTTAGTTAGTATAAGGTATCACCTTTTGTTTTGTTGTACAAGTTGATGGTTGCATTGTTAAAGATGACAGGCTCACAGTTGAAGATAAAGGTCCCTATCCTATTCCCATTGGAGAAAATTTACTGTGAATAATTCAAATTAAATAGGAGGGCTCCTATCTTCCTATCTATCTGGATCAGCCCAGGCAGGACAAGATGTAAAGAATGTGCTCTACACTGCAGCTGGGGAGAATGGCCCTACATGGAGCCTTTGGCAGAAAGCACCAGGGGAGACTCGAGGCTGACCCCTAGGGTTCTGGAGTCGAGGATACAGAGGATCCGAGGCCCGCTATACTCCAACTGAAAAAGAGATATTAGCAGCATATGAATGGGTTCGAGCTGCTTCAGTAGTGATTGGTACTGAAGCACAGCTCGTCCTGGCCCCCCGACTGCCGGTGCTGGGCTGGACGTTCAAAGGGAGAGTCCCCTCTGCACATCATGCAACTGATGCTACATGGAGTAAGTGGGTTGCACTGTTCAGACTCAAATAGGGGCTCAAATAGGAAACCCCAGTTGCCCTGGAATCTTGGAAGTGATCATGGACCGGCCAGAAGGCAAAGATTTTGGAATATCAGCAGAGGAGGAGGTGGTGTGTGCTGAAGAAGCCCCACTGTATAATAAACTGCCAGAAAATGAGAAGCAATGTCCCCTGTTCACTGGTGGGTCCTGTCGTCTTGTGTGAAAGCATTGGAGGTGGAAAGCTGCTGTATGGAGTCCTATTAGACAAGTTTCAGAGACTGCTGAAGGAGAAGGTGAATCAAGTCAGTTTGCAGAGCTGAAAGCCATCCAGCTGGCTTTGGATATAGCTGAAAGAGAAAAATGGCCAGTGCTCTATCTCTGTACTGACTCACGGATGGTGGCAAATGCCCTGTAGGGGTGGTTGCAGCAATGGAAGCAGAGCAACGGGCAGCGCAGAGGCAAACCCATTTGGGCGGCCGCATTGTGGCAAGATATTGCTGCCCGGGTAGAGAACTTGGTTGTAAAGGTACGTCACGTAGATGCTCACGTACCCAAGAGTTGGGCCACTGAAGACCATCAAAACAACTAGCAGGCGGATCAGGCTGCTAAGAATGAAGTGGCTCAGGTAGATCTGGACTGGCAACATAAGGGTGAAGTGTTTCTGGCTCGGTGGGCCCATGACACCTCAGGTCATCGAGGAAGAGATGCAACATACAGATGGGCTCGTGATCGAGTGGACTTAACTATGGACGCTATTGCACAGGTTATCCATGAATGTGAAACATGTGCTGTGATCAAACAAGCCAAGCGGTTAAAGCCTCTCTGGT